GTACGGATGTTGAATGTTAAGAATGAAAGTTTTATTACCTATAATGTATATATATATATATATATATATATATATATATATATATATATATATATATATTAATTTGCTTAAAACATTTCAAAGTTAAAAAAAAAATAAAAAATTCAGATAAGTAGAATAATAAACAACAAACATTTCGAAGAATGAAAGTCTTTTATCTTTGGATTACCTATATTAAACAAAACGTAAGATATGCATAAATTATTTTCTTTGTTAAAATATATTTGAGTGACGTGAATAAGCTGAAGTAAAATCCTAGACAATGGAAGCGGGTTTTCCAAATAAATTTGTGCAGTAATTAGGACAATAGAATAGATTTTAGAAAGATATGTTTTTGTTAGTTCATAAGAATTAATAGAAAAAGATTAGTTTGTAAATAAGTTTTAGGAAATTTTATAATGGTACGTAAAAATTTGTTTGTGTTATCGAAATGAAGAAATGGGAGATGTATGACGCGTTTTGATTGGATGAGATTGAAAAAGGTGGGATGGTTGGTTTGAGAATGAGACTTTAGTTGGTTTTTGAAGGAAAAAAGATATTCAGTTGGTTTCCAAGGGTGCAAGGCGAACGGCCGTTGTTCTCGGGTAGTTTCCCAGAGATAGGAAGCAGTAGTAGTGAAAGTTTGTGAGTTTTCGTGTAGTTAGTGTATCTGACAGAAGCTGATTCAGTAAAAGATTGTAAGTCATATTTTTCTACTTATATTCCAAGAGTCACTGTTCAGGCCAACGAGAGATTCAGTTTATCGTAAAAAGAAGATATTCCAAGAGTCATTTTTCACTCAGGCCAACGAGAGATTCAGTTTATCGAGAGGAGAAGAGGCTAGCATAATTTGAACGATTCGTGCATTTGAAGGAGATCATTAAGGACGATAAACTTGCAACAATTTGTTGTAAGATTGCTGATTACCTAGGGAGCTGCTAAGAATAGATAGTATAGGCTACAAGGAACAAGGATTTGGACCACGCATCATCAGAGAGAGATAGTTTTCTTGTTCTGCAGTTTTTCTTTTATTGATAACACAATTTTTACAATTAGTTTAGAAAAGATATAAATATTTTGATTAGGAGATTTAGAATAATAATTGGGATTTTGAGATTTTAACTAATATTGTTTGTACCATTAATTTTGAAGGTTCACGTACGTAGAACAAAATTTTGAGAATCATTATATGAGATATTGTTTATTGAAAACATGTGAGTGTGAATTTTATTTCATTATTTTTATTTCAATATATAATGTTATATCATATGTATTTTTATTATTCCGGTATTCTTTGGACCTTACCTTCCACATGTAAAGCATAGATGTTGAAGCACAAATATAACCCTGAGATAAGAGAATTAAAAAGTGTGATAGAATCATAATCATATCATTTAAATAATTTTAATTAATTAATTAGCTAATTATATAATTATTAATTTATAATTAATTATATAATTATATATTAATATATATATATATATATATATATATATATATATATATATATATATATATATCCATTTCCTCCCTTCCCTGTGTATTTTTCTGTACCAAATGCGTCATAATTAAGTAAAATTTAAATTTACAGCATATTTTTTCCTAATTAGTAAGTAGTTGCATAGAATTGTTGAAAGCAAATTTAAATAAAAGTCAAACAATAAACATTAGAATATTTACTGCGGTTAATAAAAATATCAAACAAATAAATAATTCGCTGAATAATTAATGAGTAAAACAAGTTGTAGGAAAAACACATCGTATATTGACATATCAAATAGCAAGAGCATTCTAAAAGTAAACCAAATATCATTAAAAGTCTAAATAAAAAGATCTATTTGTATTGTAATTCGTTTGAAGTAAAATTTAATGCAAAAGTATTAGTTTTAGAGCTAGAGAAACGAATTTCTATACGAGCAGAAAATGTGAAGGAACAGGTTAGTTTCGCATTCTTCTTCTTCTTACGGTGCCTATCCGTTCCGGATGTTGGCGATCAACATGGCTATCCTAACTTTGCTTGCTGCTATTCTGAATAGTCCGGTTGTCGATGTGTTAAACCACTTTCTCAGGTTTTAAAGCCAAGATATTCTTCTTCTCCCTGGTCCTCTCTTTAAAACAGGCTCGCATTAAAACAGGCTAAATAATTTGCTATTCAGCTTGATGAGACAACTGATTTTAGTAGCAATTCACATCTAATGGTATATGTTCCCTACAAAGGTGCAGATAATTTTGAAGAGGAATTGCTCTTTTGTTCTCCTCTCAAGTGGAGATCTCGTGGAATTGATGTCTACAATAAAGTAAATGAATACTTCAATGTGCAAAGTTTATTTCTTTAGCTTTGGACGCAGCACCAGCTATGCTGGGTCATATTAATGGTTTTTCGGCTTTCTTAAAAAAATAACCCAAATATTGAAGTTACTCAGTGTATAATCGATCGCCAGGCTCTTATGGTCAAATATTTAGAACCTACACTGGAAGCCGTCATGCATGATATCATCAAGATTGTAAATTTTTTTAAGAGACGCACTAAACACGCGGCTATTTCGTGAATTAGGTCAGGACGGTGAAGCTGAATATACGGACCTATTTTATTATACAAAAGTATGACTCTCTCGCGGAAATGTACTAAATCGAGTATGGCTTCTCAAAACTGAAGTCGAAATTCTTATGGTTGATCAAAAAAATATTCTTGCAAAGTTTAAAAACTCTTCCTGGGTTGCACATCTCGCATGTTTAGCGAAAATTTTTGAGAGTATAAATATATTAAACAAACAATTGCAAGAAAAGAATATTAATATCATTTCAGCGAGAGAAATAGTGTCAGCGTTTGGATTAAAGCTGCAATATTGGAAGCAGAAAGTAGAACGGAACAAGATAGCTTCTGTTTCAAGGTTAGCTTTGTTTTTGGAAGATTGCGAAAATAGTACTTTTGCTGACATCAACGATGCAATTGTAAGACATTTTATCAAACTCAAAGACTATAATTGTTTTCAGATTACTTTCCAGATCTTGATACACGTACTGTCAGTTGGATTGTAGATCCTTTTAAATGTGAAATTGTTGTGATACCAGAAGAACTTTGAGGTTTAGCAGAAGCAGTTCTTGAACTTCGATCGAATACTGAAGCACATATTCAATTTGAGAGTAAACCAAATCTGTCGTCTTTTTGTATGTCAAAAGTTGCAAAGGCTTTCAAAATTGCACATGAACAGGCGGTTAAAAAATTGTTGCCTTTTGGAACAACATATTTGAGCGAACAAGGCCTTTTCACTCTAATAAACATAAAAACGAAGAACAGAAATTGATTAAACGCCGAAGACTGTATTCAAATCGCTCTTACATGAAAAAGTACCAATTTTGAAGAAATTTTATCGAACATGAAACAACATTATTTCTCCAAAACGTGAAGGAAGAATAATTTCAATTATTATCAGAGGTTGGAAATCATCATCGCTATTTTGCTGCAATGTTTTTGGTCTTAAGAATACTTAAAAGCTTTTCATGTTGAACTCTGTCAAAAGCTTTTTTAATAAAATCTATGAAGCAAGTATATATGTCCTGATTAATATCCAGGCATGGTTGTGTCAGAACATTGACTCCGAATAAGCTTCTCTAGTTCCTAGACCCTTTCTAAAACCCATCTGTGAATCACTTATTTTTTGTTCTAATTTCATGTGGATTCTGTTATGGATGATTTTAAGGAAAGTTTTCAATGTATGGCTCATTAATGTAATTGTCCGATAGACATTGCAATCTTTAGCATTCGTGATTTTTGGAATCGTTACAAAAGTTAAGAGAAGCCATTGTTTGGGTATATGTCCCGTCTTGATTATGGAGTTAATGTTAAGGATTTCATGGGTAGATAGAGTCACGAATGCAGAAGTGTTATGGAGAATAGACAGAGAAAAGGAAATGGAAAATACAATAAAAGAAAAGAAATTGCAATATCTCGGACATGTAATGAGAGGCGACAGACTCAACATCTTGAGACTCATAAATCAAGGAAAAATAGAGAGTAGAAGAAGCGTAGAAAGAAGACGAGTTTCCTTGTTGAAGAACCTGAGAGAGTGGTTGGGTTGCAGCTCAAGGCAATTGTTCAGAGCAGCTGCCTCGAAAGTCAGAATAGCCATGATGATTGCCAACCTTCGTCGCGGAGATGGCATTTAAAGAAGAAGAAGAAATCAATATTATCTTCATCAATTATCTTAAATAATTCAATTGGTATAATATTGGGTCCTGGAGGTTTTCTACCTTTTGTGTGTTTTATGGCATAAATAACTTCCTTTTTCATTATTTCTGGTCCCGTGGTTTCTCCGTCAACTTCTAATTGTTCTACTTTTTGGTCATAAAATAGGTGTTCAATGTATTTTTTCCATCTGCGTAATTTGTCTTGTAATTTGTCTACGTATAATTTGTTACAGTACCTCAAATTTTCAACTTACAATTGTGCCCCAATGGGTTTCAATTTGTTATGTACAGTTGAGGAAAAAAAATTCGCCCCCACAGAAAATATAAGTAAATGATAGAATGATTCTAATTTCTTGTTATTTTGTAATTCTTATGATATTTTTCTTGTATTGTTAAAGTCTAGTAACACAAGAAAAATATCATATGAATTAAAAAATAGCAAGAAATTATCATTAACTATATTTTCTGTGGGCGAATTTTTTATTCCTCAACTATATATTACATATTTCTATTATTACCGTTATGGATTACTAGGTATTTCATTGATCAATTGAATAAATGATGTTTAAATTAAATTTTTAGTTATTATTTTCTTTTCAAAATTATCATGGGGGCTATGTGAAAGATGCTAAAAAGAGGCGATTTCGTTTTTTTCGCCATGGGTTACCTAATATCAACTTACACAAAAATATTTTGGGGTAATGATTAAAAGAGTTCCCCGACCGCTGCACTATAGGTACGTTATTGGTTAAATTATTATTAATAAAAATTGTTATTATGACATAAATACTTACTTTTTAAACTTGTCGACGATTTTGATCACTAGCATGATACGCTATTTATAAACGGATAACACTTGATCGATTAGATCGCTCTCAAACACGTTTACAAATTTGAATGTATTCCACAATCTCTATGCAGTGTAATCTCGGTGAAGTGCGTAAACAAAACATGAGACACAACTATTGGTAAGATGGAAATAAAAATAATTGTGTTTGACACAAGTAACTGCCTACTGTATTTTCAATATTGACGATTGTACATATCTGAATAAACACACACCAGTTAACACATTGGGGGAGAGATAAGTAATAATGTATTAGGTGATAAGATATGTATATATATTGAATCGATCGGTCGTTATCGCCTTAACAATATAATGATACTAATCTGAGGCAAAATATTTTCTCTACTACTGATTTTATGGTACCGGATAATATTAATGGTTTTATTGGCCAGCTTTATATCTCTTTTTATTTATGAACGTATGCCAAATAGTTGTATATCCTAAACTGTTGAAGTTAAACATTTTATAATTAGAAAGAACATTTGTTTAAAGTTTACTATACAACACGAGACTGTCTATTTAATGAATTTCTAACGTGTTTTTGAGAATAGGCGCATCCACCAATTTCTTGTTAACGCCATGCAGTCATAAAAAAGTATTTTAAGAAGTTTTGTTACGGATCGATTGGGAAATACAATAGTTAGTAAAATGAAAACAAACAATTACGAAATGCTTAACAATAAAATTAAAAACAAAACTGAAAAAAGAAAGACTATACCCGACTATTAGGTTATCAACAACAAAGTTAAAAATAGCATTAGGTGAAACTTACGGGCTTATAAAACACAACAAATATTACAGACCATCTAAAACAATAGAAATATTAGGGTACTGAGATCAAAATTATCTAAAGAAACTCAAAGATAAGTAATATTAAATACCAACAAGGAATATGATGACAGAAAAAACCCAAACAATTAATGAAATACTAACATTCTATAAGATGTTGTAACATCGATGACGAGTGCAGACAAGCAATAGAGGAAAGAAATGAAGCACACAAAAAGTTTATAACAAGAAGAACAAGGGAAAGACGAACATCATTTGAAGTCGCAAGAGGGAAAGCAGACAAGATATGTAGAAATAAAAAAAACCTATGAAAATGGACAAATAGAAAAAATGGAAGAAAATTTCAAAAACAACGTAATTAGAAGGGCCTAGGAATACCTAAAAAAGATAAAAAGTGGGAATAAACCTCAAACAAGTCTATGTAAAGATGAAAGTGGGCAAAGAATCAGTGACCAACAGAAAGTCACAGAAACCTGGAAGCATTATTTTCAGACCCTACTTGATTCACAAGTAGATATGGAAGATAAAATGAGTACAAACTACGTAGAAGAGAATGAAGTAGAAAAAGGTCCAGAAAAACAATAAAGCCCCGGGAGCTGACGAAATACCAGCAGAATTGTATAAGGTAGGTGACGATCACCTAGCAAATCACATCCACGCACTCATCAAAAACATATGGCAAGAAGAGAAAATATGCGACGACTGGAAGAAAAGTTTAATATGCCCGATCTATAAAAAAGGAGACAAACTCCAGTGCAAAAACTACCGTGGAATTTCTCTACTATGTACAATAAAGTCCTCACGTATATTATAAACCAACGGCTCGAACCACTAACAGAAAATATTATTGGAGAATATCAGACGGGCTTCCAACGGGGAAGATCGACACTGGATCAAATATTTACAGTCAGATCTTGAGTAAATCATAGTAAACACAGTAAACAGCGACGCACAAGCCCTTTTAGAAGTCCGTATATGGAGAAGACCAGCCATAGACAAGCAAGGATGGAGGCAAAAAATAAAGGAGGCCAAGGCTCAATTTGGGCTGTAGTGCTGTAGAAGAAGAAGAAGAAGAACAGTCTAGAAGAATCTTTACACATCCACTATACGCAGTCCTGAAACAGACCATAGTACTATTCTAAACGTCACGTCGGTCGGTTGCCTCGAAAACTCTCCCAAAAATATATACTTCGGAAATAAGACATGCTTTACAACAAATGAAAAACAAAAAAGCTTCGGCAGAACAATATTGTAGATGCACTGGAAAACTTGCTAAATAAATACCATAAAACCGAATACCAGACCTGTGGCAAAACGCCTAAGTAATACCCTTGCATAAAAAAGGGGACACGCAATTTTACTCTTGATGTGTGGAGGTAATTAGTATAACTTAAGTTCATGTTTGGAGGGTCGCCACTCTTGTCCCCGGCCGCCATCTTGGAAAAGATTTTCGCACTGGATCTCGTAAATTACCAACTCTTCTGTTTCAATTCTTTATTTTTTTCGATTAATTTTATATTTCCATGATGTCACTGCAGGTTTCACCAGAACAATTGAGGCGCACTGCAGAACATTTGAGGCTTACTTGTCGGCAATCACACATACTTTCACAGTTTCCATTGCATCTGCAGAAAAGTTCTGGGGAATATGGAGTTTTGATTGGAATGCAAATTTTTCCAAGCTTTTTCCAGCCCAAATCTTCACGGTCGCAGTGTTTCCAGGTGATAAACTCTAACACTGTGGAAGCGAGCTGCTTCTTGTGTTTTTCGGCAAACATGTAATTTTGATGACAGTCTTGGCGAGTCGTTTGTGTCTCATGCTGCTAGAGAATCACCTTTATTTCCACCATACAAAGAGTCGAAAAATCGTTCGTCAACGACAGTGGCCAAAGATGGCTAGACTTTCTCACTGAGAAATAATGCTGTTCATCTAGCTAACTCAGGATGTTTCTGTAAAATTTTGATAAATTTAATTTTGCCGATCTTGTAAGCTACTAATATTGTGTCGCATTCTGAAAAATTATGGAGAAACAGCAAATTCTCTGCAATGACGTCACCATATTGTAACCGTTTCAAAATTTATTATTATAATTTCTAGTAAATATTCAAATTAATGTTGCTCACGCCATATATCCGCTGAACGCGGAAGCACCTAAATTCCCTCAAGTATCCAATTGCATTTCATAATAGTTCCGACTTTGGCCTCAAAATCCGAGCGTTCCTAACCTCCCGGCAATTCATCTCTCTTTGAACGTCAAGAATACAGAAAAAAAAATTTTGAGTGGTCTCTTGACAAGTTAAACCGAAAAATTCCTTTTTTTTCTTTTATATTTCAAATAAATATTTATTTTAGACCCTTACCGGAAGCATTAATAGTTGCCAGAACTATGTTTATTGGCCTGAGGTTATCTAAATAGCTATGATTTATGGATTACTGTTATTTGGTTTAAGTGCCTTTTGTAGAATATCCCGTTTGATTTGTCATCCCCATTCTATAGATCTTTATGGTAGATATTATGTTTCTGCTGCCGATAGATTCAACGTCCTGCAATCCCAGCCTGAGTACCTACTTGGTAAAGATTATATCCTTTCTACAAGCCACACAAGCATTTGGATAATTCAGGTTCTACCAATTTTATATTTTTACTGAACAGGGAAGATTATTTATGAAATAAATAACAGTGATATAATTTATTATTGGTCTTTTAATTACATAAATATCAACATAATATATAGATATCTTCTATACAATAGAATTTTTCTATGTGAACGAAGTTCGAAATTTGGGATAAAGTATCAGCTAGGGTCAGCTAGTATTTCATATAAGTATTTCTCATTTATAATCTAATGCCAAGATATAAAATGTTTGTTTTCTTACTAAATGATTTTAAGTTACGTTTCGTATAAACACGTCTCATTTTTAATTTAATACCTAAACAGAGACTGTTTATTTCTTTTCCGGGATGATGTAATTTTTCAAGAATCTTTTAATAACCTTTTGTTCGTTACAAAATAACAAAGGTTAGTTTTGAATTAAATTTTTTATTTTATTTTTTTTTTTTTGCCTGAACTCGTGTCTTGACGAGGGTAAACTATTAAAGGATGATGCCTAACTCATTTTAATTTTAAAGATAATACAAACAACTTATACATGACTTTTGAAAGAACCACACCCAAACTCTTCCCGACACGAGCAAAAGGGCCTAGATTATTTATGTACATAAGTAAATAGTTTGATTACGTTACAATTTATAAAACTTAAAGGACAGCATAATTGATGCGACTTACACCCTTTTGAAGGTTTAAAAAAATTGGACACTTTGACACACAACATTGGATTGCTCCCTTGCTAATGCCGTGAGCAAGACAAGAATGTCAATATTCTCTGCTACGACAGTCACAGAATTATAGGCTTGGAACGCAGCAAACGCAGAATGGATGATGACTGCATCTTCATCAGAATCAGCCTGGTCGACACTAAAACCCACTTCTGATAGAGCAGTTTTTGAACATGTCTATAAAGTTTGTTGTGTTATTTTCATTAACAAGAAATTTATCTTGGAGTAATATCGGTAGAGCGCTCTTATAAAACTTTATCTCTGTCCATTGGTGCTTTTTTGTGTGTCACATTAGGGAAAATTTTATGCTGGCGAAATGGGTCGATAATAAATTAATAATATCATTTTATGAAAATTTATATTCCATATTCATTTTGATTCCAGTACAGCTGCTAGATCATCAAATCTTTTCCATCGAGCCAATTTCACTTAACGCCTGTATTAACACATCATGTCTTACATTGTAAAAACTCTTTTGATAATCGATAAAGCAAATAAAGACATCACTTCTCTGGTAATAGCATTTCTGCACCAATATTCCATGGAAAAAATTGCCTCTTGTGTTCTGAAACTTTAAAAACGCTTTGAGTACGTGGCTCATTAAGATAATTCTTACAGCGAATGGTATTGTGCTCCCTTTAAATTGCTATTAAAGTTGACTTTAGCCAATCTGATATGTTTTCACTATTGTATATATTATTAAAGGGTTTGCATAGGTGCTTTTCCACTTCTAATTCTACTACTGACGGAGTAGTTAAATATGTGTTTTCATTCATAGTATTAAGTTAAGATTACCAGAGAAAAGATCTGGTACAGTCTGTTCGCCGAACTTGAAAATATTTTGACAGGTGTATTGTCGGAAACATACAACAAAAAAATTCTTATTCTCCATTCGCTTAGCTCGGGCATATTTTGACAGATTCATTGTCGGAAACCTACAATACAAAAATTCCTACTTCTCAATATTAATAGCTCCAAATATACTACTATTGCAGACTTCTTCCTTTAAAAAAAAGAATTATTCCAAATACTGGAAGTGTATACTAAACCCATAACGTTTTCCCTGATATTTAAAATATATTTGAGTTGTTACAATTGAACATATTGTAGTAAATATTTGTATTATTCGCGTTGTTTATTTTAGGTAATATAGTTTTATTGTTCCATTATTTTTGTTTAATTCTTTGTTAGTTCTATTTAGTTAATTAGTTAGTTCTATTTTGAATTTTATTATTAGAGATAGTCAAAGTTTTCCATTTATTCTATCAGATAATGCGTTGGTAAGTTTTTTTTGAATAAATATAAATATGATAAATGTTCTTTAAAAGTTAATATTTTTAGATGAGTAAGGATGCTGTTAAATTACGAGGTAGTCAAACTGCACAAAGATTTATTCAAAACACCAACCATTCTTGTTTAATTATTTGCCCATTCGGCGTAGGTGGATCATTAAAATATATTTATAAAATTATGTAAATATGTTCTTAAAGACAAAAATATTTCAGTTAACATCCAGTTCAGTTTGACATGGCGTCAAAAATTAAATAAAAGCTGTGATAAAAGCATCGAGTTAGAATCTACAAATGGATAAAAGTTACAGTAATTTAGTTTATATCGTTAAGTTGCTCCAAATGTAGGCAACCAACTTAAACCTTTTGTTACGATTTAGCTGGAGTTTCTTGAGAATATTTTTAATAACCGTTTATTATTTTCCAGTTAATTTATTATTTTTTAAAAGTGATGATAAAAATGCTGAATAAGCAATATTTCAAATGATATTTAATCACAAAACGTACTTAAAATTGTGTTATTGTAAAATCCTCATAATAAAGTACGTTAGATAAAAAAGGTAAAATCCCGGGTCGTCCAAAACTAGTTTCTAATAGAAATAATAGAAGATTATGATTTGTTTTAATTATATTTTTAATGATATTGGATATTTTTGATGAATGATCTTTTTGAATTATAATATGAATATTATGATATTTTTTATCTAACCTACTTTATAACACGATATTAAGTACGTCCTGTGACTAGGTATCATTTGAAATATTGCTTATTCAGCATTATTATCATCACTTTAAAAACTAATAATAAATTAACTGGAAAATATTAAATATATTCTCAAGAAATTCCAGCTAAATGCTAACAAAAAGTTTAAGTTGGTTGCCTACATTTGGCGCAACCTAACGATATAAACTAAATTACCGTAACTTTTTTTATAAAACATATTTTTTATATATAATAGAAACTTACATTCTATATACATGCTATAAATTTCTAATTCATAGTATAAGTTTGCAAAAGAGGTCGACGAAATACTCTAATGAAATGCGCTATGAGCACGTGTACTTGGTTGTATAATAATTTCCAGCCACTTCTAGTCTGTCAAAAAGTAACTAACTTCGTAAAAACATATTTACTAAAATCACTTTACAGTTCAGACTGGCATTAGCGAACCGAGTATACCCCTCACTATTAATAACTCAAATAAACTTACTGTTGCAGCCTTCTTTCATTAAAAAAAAAGAAGAATAATCATAAATAATGGAAGTGTATATTCAATAATTTTCATTAATAACTTTCTATTTGTAAATACTAATCTATAAACGATAATAAAATTCCAAAAATAAATTGTGTTTTAATTATAGGTCCACTTTTATTTTGTTAATAATTGCATGTAAATATTTTTTGTTTAAATATTGGTTGTAACCAATGACGTATAATATATAGACTCGGTGAACGCTTTAGTGTCCAAAACATGAATACCTTTGTTATTGTTTATTGTTTTGATACGAAGATGCACGAAGTTCATGATTTCTTACGAAGCATCACGAAGTTGATCTTGTGTTTGAAAACATCATGGACGTACTCCATTTTGTGTGACAAGCAAATTTTATTTTAAATTGTTGATAGTTATTTACTTACTATTTTAGTAAAATGCCATACTATTTTATCAAAATAATTATTTCTCTTATAGACGGGAACAAAAAGAAATCATAAATATTTAATTTTAATTAAAAAAATAATTATTGTCATTAACATTTAAATGAGCACGCCGCTGTTCTAATAAACATACCTTCAACCTTGAGCCGAGATCTTTCGGACACTCGATTCTATAGCGAGAATAGGGGACTGCGTAGTCTATATATTATACGTCATTGGTTGTAACCACTGCATCGAGCAAAAAGACAATAGAGGGAATGTAAAGGTAGTGGGGGCAAACATATTGTTAGACAGGAAGTGCGATCTTTAGAGGCCACATTAAACAAGGAAAGAGAGTCTCTCTCCTTGTTTGACATCAAATTTAGTTGGGTTATGTTATTGTTTGTCTCAAATGTCACATGAAATCTTGTTTATATTGAAGTTTTTTAACAATTGTGTCGCATTTTAGACTCTTATCATTAATAATTAATTAAAACTTTCTCGTCTAAGACACATTCTGAAAAATATTATATAGCTACTATTGATAAGTGTCGAAAAATTTAAATTTCGCGCATTCGCATTTCCGGATATGTCCGCCATCAGAGGCAACTTTTTTGGTCTCCTTTTTATAAGGATTAGATTCCCTCTTTTGTCTTATTGCTCGATGAACCACTGCCAGTTGGTCAAAATTTAACCATCATAGCAACAAAAATTCCTAAATTTACTATTATAGACAGTAATGACTGGATCAGCGAACCGAGTATAATATCTGACAGCTGGAAATTACAAAGATATGCAACACACATTACAGGTAAATATTAATTAGATAATAGACAAAAATTCTTACCTCTCCCTATTAATAAGAATTATTTGAGTACAAACCTTGCTGTTCGTCGGAGATTCCTATATGAGCATTAAGTTTATTTGCTGGTAATTTTAGCACACTACTAAGTAATCTTAGGCTTCTGGAAGCCTTTGGGTCCGATTTTGAACTTGTTTTTGTATATTGATATACACATTTACATTCGTAAAGTATTATTCTAGTTTTTTTTGTATTTTTTTGATTTCCCGGTATCTATGCTTAAGTAGTTCTTGTGGAATATTATCTTATACCTGCTGGCATTATAATCTGTTGTTCTCGTTTTTTGTAAATAATTAATATAACTAAAACCTTCTTCTAAGCTACTTTTAAGACGATAAGCTCCAAATATACTCCCATTGATTCGTTGGTATGCATACTAGTCTCTACTTGCTCAACCCCTTAACTCTTTTATCCATATATGGATAAATTATTAATGGTATTATTATGAAATAAAACGCCTGATTATTTTATGTACATACGAGTATAAATCTATTTTAAATAGTATAATATAAACTCTGTTCATATCACAATAAAACATAAATCAGATAAAATTACTGCCGTGGAATATCAGTCAAAGAAAAACGACCAGTCGTACCCTGAAAAGAAAAAATGAGATCAGTTTCATTACAGTATCAATACGATATATTTATATGTTAATAATAATTTATTAAAAATAAATAAAGAAAATTCGTCCAGCATTGGATATTTAAAATCATTTTCTGGAAATATTTTTCCTTGGTGTAAAGGGAAAAATATTTATATAAACAACAAATTTGGGTCCCTTCTCGAATGATCTTATTAATTTTTCTAAATTAAGTTTTGCCAAGTTCCTCATTTTATGGAACCAGAACAACCTCTTTGTGCTTATATCACATTCTCCCTTTCTACTTGCTAGTTACTATTAGTTTTTGCTATTAAATATTTGTTATTATGTAAGATCTCTCTCAGTCGCTCTTTCTCTCACTTTCTGCCTCTTTCTTTATTTCTATTTATTTCTCTTTTTCTTTCTTCATTTTCTATCTTCATTTTTCTTTTTTTCTTTCTCACTCTCTCTCTCTCTCTCTCTCTCTCTCTCTCTCTCTCTCTCTCTCTCTCTCTCTTTCATATCTCGGTCCCCACTAATGCACACCTGAGTCCTTTTCTACCAGCGACATATATTTTGGATATCGTCTCTCCTGAGGAATTTTCACACTTATTGTGTTTCCTCTAGGACAGCAAACCAACAGTCTAATGTCCAGCTGTATATGCTGTTGCGTTATGTGATCGGCCCAATGCCATTTTACTTTAGCCGTTTTTCAAAAACGTCTGTTACTCCGATTTTTCTTCGAATCTCTTCATTCAATCTTCAACTCATTCATTCGAATTTTCATTACGAATTGTTTACAAGCATTTTCCAGTTGATTTAAAATATTTTTAGACCAATATATATAGAAATTTTTATTAACCATAAATCACTTCTATTTAAACATCTTGTAAAGATTCCAACAACTTTGACTGTAACTCTACAGAATGAAGCTAAGAAGTTCTAAATACTAAAGGAAATTACAGTTCGATAATTATTTAAAGAAAGCATAGGCATAATTGAAGGTGAAGATATTTTGTCTAAGTCAACGTAGTAAAATACACAATCAATCTGATATTTGAAAGTCTGAAAGGAAATAATGACAAAAAGAATAAGAATACAAATAATCTTACCTCAAACCCTTTGGTAGGCAATATTTTCTCTATGTCTTTTTTCCATGTCTCTCTGTTTAATCCAAGTGTAGCAGGCACTGCCAAATAAGACAATGATGTTAGAGCTCCACCACAAAAACGATTTTGTCTCTTGGTACCAATAAGTGGCCAGCACTGTTTGAGCGCAGGCTTTAGCAGTACCAGATATATTATGAGTGAGTGCCGATGTATACTGGAAAAAAAAAGGTTAAGTCGATTAAGACAAGGGTAAAGAATATAATGTTATTTTTAATAATACAAAATTGTCTTGTAGAATAGAAGAAACTATCCATAAAAGTTGTAAATGCAACACATCAAATGGCTCTGCCTATTAAAACTTTTCAGAAATCTGAAATCAAAGAAGTAATTGATAATTTTGAAATTAGGAAGTCCTAGATATAATCAAATGAAGCAGAATTGCAAAGCCATCTGCTTAAACTATAGAGCTGGCTTAAATTGTGGTGAATAAGTCTTCTTATTTTTGTGTAGATGTGACTCTGTTTTTCGATGTACCTCCAGTAAGTTGTCATTTTATCATTTTCTGGCGGTATGTATACTAAATTGGTGTAGCATATGTTGTAAATCACTTCACAAGAACCTTCAACAGGCGATATATAACTGAAGGTAAATTTACTTACTTTTATTTGCATTGTGGTAAAAAATCCAATGGTAAATCCACACACTCCACCTGCTACAACGATGGACCAAAAGTATGGGCTACTGAAATTAGTATAGTTGTACAGCTCCTTAATTTCATTGTTTAATATCATTACAGGCAAAAGAAGAATACTGGCGTAAACATTATTAACATATGATAATGCCCAGACTTCTCCATTTAGTTTTGGCAAAACTTTTTTTGTAAAAATTGAAAATAATGAAAGAGATAGAGAGCCCAGGATTCCAAAAACAAATCCTGGTATGGACAGGCTACCTAAAAAAAGAAAAATGCTCATTAACATATTAGAAGATACAGTTTACAACAGAAAATAGTTATGAATCCAATTATTGGAAGCATAGGTTTATTATCAAGGGCTACTGAAGGAATGCTATTAATTGTGCCAGTGTTGAAAAATAAAAACAAAGGTAATGTAATGAAACGCAATAAAACAGAATATAATAACAAAATCAAATCAAATGAAATAGAATTAAATTAAATTCAATTAAATTAAGTTATATTAAAACTCATCGCTCTGTATGTAGACTATAAGGCTATGCTTCCCCTCCTCAGTCACCCCCAGAGTACAACATCCTGTTTGTCTAAAGATTCTCTATATAAGGATCATTTAAAAACCTAATTTACACTTAAAAAAAATTGTATTCTGATAAGATTTATGAGTTGAAAAACAAATAATTTTACTCTAAATGGTTAAATTATCCTCTTTTTGACTTGGCAGAAAATTATGCTTTTTAGTGCTTAGCCTATCCACCACCTATCATTCAAGTGTACTATTCAATTATTGGATCTAACTTGAATTTTTTTTTTTTTTTAAATAAAAGTCATAATTGTTGTCTACTCTCTGCCTAATTATCTTATTTGTTAATCAAGTAATCAAACTCAAATCTTAAAAACAAATATTTTTCAAGTCTATGTCAATAAAAATTAAAAATATTTGTTACAATTTTCATTTGGTTATAAATATGAATTATATGTGTGAAATTTTAGAAAATTGTTTTCAAATACAGGATAAGTAGTTGGTCCAAATTAAATATTGTTTTGGAACTATTTACTGTTGGCATTTCTGTTATTTTTATTATTATTTTTTTTTTGTAAATAAAAGTTAAATGTATGATAAGCTGGAATCAAGCACAACACCTAGGTCTTTTGTTTGTATTAGTTTTATTCCTAGCAAAAACCATTAAATAACCCTTTTTAACATGAAGTTCCATTCCCTTGCTGTCACACCAATAGCTCAACCAATCCAAATCAGACTGTAGTTTTTGATAGTCACCATCATTCTCAATTTTCCAATATAATTTTAAATCGTCAGTAAACATTAGGAAAGAAGCAAAGAGGAAACAGGAGGCAATGTCATTAACACAGTTATTGAATAGAAGATGTCCTAGAAGTGATCCTTGTGGTACTCCTGAAAGTACCTTAATCTTAAATGATTGAAAACCCTGAACACATATTATTTGTATTCTTTCAGTTAGGTAGGATAACAAACATTCTAAAAGTTCACCCTGGATACCCAGACTCCTCAACTTCTCTCATTTAAACCCAAACAAGAGTGGAGGATGATGTCTATCCTCTGTGAGTAGGGCACTCTCAACTCTAGATATCCTAACCTCTTCATCTTGGACCACAACTAGATCTAATAAGGAGTTGTTTTCATTTTTACACTAATCTTGGGTGACATTTTTAATGTTTTCGTAAAATTGTTATTAAAATTGTCAGTTATTGGTTTTTTATCCCACATGAAACATGATCACTAACCACAATATGAATCTTATATATTTTGGTGTTATTGTCTACATTTATTTAGGATAATATAGACTAGAGGATAACTAGGATTCCTAGATAACATAGACCATGATATGAGAAATATGAAAATACAAGCTTGGCGGGGGAAGGCGATGGATAGGGACAAATGGAAAAAAATTCTTGGGGTGGCTAGGACCCACAGAGGGTTGTTAAGCCAAAATGATGACGATGATGTCTACATTTATATAGACCTGTTAAATCTCATATTCTCAAAAAAACTAGCGACCAACCATAATCAACTAATATAGTTCTCTACGCCATCTCTATTGAACTTTCATATAGAGCATATAAATGTGAGAAAGAGTTTTTTTTTGTTGAATCAACTTATTACTGAAACTAACTTTGGGCATACATACCTGCAAGATTTTCTTGATCTACTCCTAACCAAAATCCAGAAATAATCACTGCACAACAAGCTATACAACTTTTTGAAGTGGTCTCTCCCAGTATTAAAAATGTAAACATAACATTAAATATGGTAGTTAATGATCTTCCGATATAATAGTAAGCAACAGATGCATACTTTAGACACAAATTGTTGGTGCAGATCATAGTTGTAAACAAGATTGACAAAGGCATGACCTACAAAAATAATCATTTTTATTGGAATACCATTTAATAAACTAATAATAACACTAAATATAGCAAAAGCAAAATAATTAAAACAACTGACAATTCAACAAAAATCTAGGGCTGACCAAAAGGAATGTTAAAATAGTTCAAATTTAAAGCTTTTGGGTACTTATTAAAAGCCATTTCAGAAACTAAAGCAAAAGCAGACCATAGAAAAATGAATAGAAATAAATGAAAGATGAATAAAGCAAAAAACAAACCTACAATAAGGTAATTATACCCAACCAAACAAAATACATATATTATTACTCACAATTTTTGGTTAAAAATAAGCTTACACCATGTTTTATAGATTATAACTTTAAAAAGAACAAAGTAAAGTACTTACTGCTTTAAGGGTATGCTTGTCCCATACATCTATATCTGGAAAGTTGAACTTATTGGGGTAAACATCACTCAGACTTTTCTTAAAGTAACAAATAACAGCTGTAATGAGTGTCTGTGTAAAATTTATAAACATAGGTGCATCTAAATTAATATTACTTAATAATGTTTTGTTCACAAAAACAGTTGTGATTGAAACTACCCTAAAAAACAATCATTTTAATACATAATATTCACCAGTTAGTTACTAAAAACATACCAATATCCACTTACAACTAGGAAAATTGTTACATATTTTGATAAAAGACTGTTTTCCATGACCATTTTGCTGCTGAGAATTGAGCCTCGGTCAGACTCTCTTTATCAGATATCTATAGAATGCTTATAAATATATAAATATTTTACTTTTACATGTTTAATAAAAATTTAAACAGATGTAAATTGACAACTAGGCAATTTATACAAAATAAATATAACCTTAAAGTAAAGATATTCAATCACAACTTCATGGAAAACGAACAAAAAAAGAAGAAGAATGGACAAGAATCAAGAATGGAAAATTCATAGGCGTAGACAAACTTTTTCTAAGAATAAAAAATATTCGATAAAAAATTAAATTTTTATAAATATTTTGTACCGCTGGACATTTATTTATATATTATTTAATTAATTATTCTACATTCCGTTACTATTATTGTTGTGAATAAGCCACAATATAAGTTTTATACAAGTTTATTTTTGACGTTTCGATTTCCACTTCAAATAAAATGTCAACAAAATTTATTTTTGTCACGTCACAGACAGCACAGTATATACCACAAATAGTAGTGTATGCGGAATAGGACAAGTAGGTAGAGTGAATTGCATGGGTCCAACCGTTGGTAATCATAACGGCGCTAGTAGTCACGTTAAATGGGACATGACCCAAGGTTACTAAAAGGGAGGTTGCATTGTAACTCTGACATTGACAGAATGAAATATTACGTGTGACGTCACCCGGGGGTCAATTTTACGAATTGTTTGAAAACAAAATAGGAGAAGTGGTTTGGAGAATATATTTTGTTATTAAATATCGTACGTGCTTTAGTTTATGTTAATATCTCGAGATATAATATGTCTATAGATATTATTGAGTGATTTTTAGTATACAACTTGGACCCAAAACGCTTATACAAGTGTTAAAATACATTTAACGTGGTTGTGTCTTATTGGATTTTATTTCTGCTGTATTATATAGTAAAGGTAACATTCGTATTAATGCAGGAACAACATAACTTAATTCAATTTTTTTATTGATTCAGATGACTGGTGGAAATATTTGTAGTGTAGCAATCTGCAAAAATAATTAAAAGAATTCCAAAAAGGATAAAAGGAATTTAATGTTTTTTACATTTCCAAAAAATGTTAATTCACTGATTTTGATTTTTATAATTTACTGTTAATTAAATACAACTTTATGGAACTTTATGGTATCATTTAATGGAATCATGTTTTAATATTTTTTATATTCTATTATATAATCCAGTAACGTAATCAGATGTTCCTTAAATATATTGAAGTTAAGAGAAAAACTACTAATTCTGATATATAAATCTTTAAATGAATCTCTTTTTCGGCATGGTTTACTTGTTTGGAGGAATTTATAATAATCCACTACATGCATTATCTTCAATTCAAAGTAATTAAAAAAAAGTAAATTGTATTCAACACATTATTAATATAGTATATTAACATGTTTTAGTCACATGTATACACAAGAAAGAATCTAATTCCAATTTAATATAGTAATGCTATTCTACTACATATGTTTAACTGCAATAATATTTTATGGTTTCTATAACTCTGCAGGTACTTATCTTCCACATTTTTTAAAGATTTAATGGAATAAATAATTATTAAAAGTCCAAACGTATTTTTTTCAATATACATAGATTAATATATGTATTTACAATCATTGCTGCTTTTCGAGTTCTCTCAGTGACGTCATTCCCGCCGTTAGATTCTGGACGCTGATTGGTGTAAAGTTACCAGACAACCTGTCTATTTTTAATAACCTTGGATACGACCTAGCAAGAGGCGTATGACGTTCATGTAAGTGCTGTTTTAGAAAAAAAAACAAAGATTGTGGCAAATTCTTCTAAAATCACAAGTTGAATTTACAATAACATATTTCTAAAGAATTTTGAGTATCCACCGAAAATAAAAAATGTGTTAGTGGTGGTATTAAAAACATACTTTTTGAATTTTGCCGCCTAAAATTCAGAGCATACCTTTTAAATTTGCCGCTAAATAAAGTTAGTTTTGGCCCGTCCGCATTTGGCGCTAAAAACTCTCTCCCAAATCTAGATAGGACTTACCTTACTAGATTGCTATGTACTGTAAACAACAGCAGACAGATCGAGATGATCTATGATCTTTTTGATAGCAAAGCAAATGGAAGGCATGACAGTATAGTTTTTTTTTCAATTTAGTTAAATATGGCAAATAAAACAAAAAACGAATTCATTGCTTATAGTGAACCAGCCATTCGCAACAATTTATCTATCGTGGAGTATTGTCGTACATCTGTAGCTGCTGTATCCGGTTGTACGGCAGGTAACATGCTCATTGTTTTATGCATAGTATTAAAGAGTTTTTTAAGATGAGATTTGGTTAAGACTAGATCCTGATGTTACGGCCGCTAGGCTATTAAATTTTATATATGTATTCCTATCAAGAAAGACCAGTTTCGCTTCTTTTCTTATATTTTTTCATTAGATCATGGATATAGGTTGAAGTGTCTTTAAATATGTAAGATTCTTATTGTATTAGATTCAATTCAACAGCTAATGAAAATACTGTATTATAGCAGACTACCAACACTTGGATTACCTAGATTTTATTTTTTATGATAAAAAGTAGATACATAATTATAAGAAAAAACAACCTATTAAAAAATGTTGCTCCATTACAAGTTTTTCTTGTTTTAGGTGTACTGGGACTAACAGGATTATATGGTGCAGTATTCTTTGTTGTAGCAGTAACTACATTTTGGTTTATGCTATTGTTTAAAGCTGGTATTGATTCCTGGAAGAAATATTTTATATCTAGAAACTCTTTACTCTTGAATGGGATTTTTGGACATTTCTTCACGTACATTCTGTGTTGGACTTTCATTTATGGAATGGTGCATGTTTATTAAATAAATACAAATAAGTGTTCTAGAATTAGTAGTACAATAACTGTTGTGGGGAAGGTTGGGGTAAGATGGCTGATGAAAGAAATTTTCGATCAGCTTACTATGAAAAAGTGGGATTTAGGAGTGTAGAAGAAAAAAAATCATTGGAAATTTTGTTGAAGGAGAAACCTCTGGATCGTGGAAAATTGAGGCAGTTCTGTGTTAGATTTTCTGTGCCAGCTACTTATAGAAATCTAGTATGGAAACTGCTTCTAGGTATGTAAAATGTTTATTAACAGTATTATAAATACAGTTATTTATATTAAATGTAAAATAGAGAGTAATATAATTCCAATGTTTTCGTTTTCATACACAGAATATTAAGAATTTTGTTCTTTGTTTTTATTATAACTCTACCTATATATCTTTTCTAGCATAATTAATTTGTTCTAGGTGTTATTCCAGTTCATATAGACAGCCACAACTTCATAATGGACCAAAGAAAACAGGAATACCATGAATTGCACAGAGCCCTAACTGTAATGAGAGTAATTGACACAAACACTCCAAAACCTCAAGTATTTTTAGCCATGTGGCTACTACAAACTGGTAATTTCACCATTGATACTAGTCTAGCAACTGAAAGGGGATTTAGTAACATAGTCCAGTCCTTCATGCAATTTTTCGAAGATGATGCAGATGTTTTTTGGTTATCCAGAAATTTTTATGAGAATGTCAAAAAGTTTGATTCTGATTTAGGGAAATTGGTTGAGAAAAGTTACATGATACTGGAGAAAGAGGATGCTGCATACTATAAGCATTTAAATAAAACTGGAGTGTTGGACAATTTACCATTAGCTAAATGGTTTGATTGCTGTTTTGCTGGAATATTGTATAAATCTGCTCTTGAAAGGTAAATAAAGATTTAATATATATCACTGCTATATCATATAAAAGAAGTCTTATATACATATTTTAGTGTTATAGACAGATATGGGTATTTCTTCTCTAATGACAGGATATTTATGATAATATTGATAATTCATGTATTTCTTTTAGAATTTGGGATAAGTTATGTGGTGGTTCTTACAAGATTCTCGCATTTGTAGCTGTAGTTGTCTTAACAACTTTAAAAGCTCGAATCATGAAATGTAACAACATCTCTGCTGTTTTGCAGATCATAAAAAATGTAAGTAATAGATTTCTTTTAGAAACAACATCCTCAATGTTTCGAAATTGTAATGTTGATTCTGTCAATATTCTGTTCAATGAATATTTTTTATTCAAAGCTCATTTTAGTTTTATCCATCATTTATTTTAATGATAATTACAAAAACTTTTACTTAGGTGTAAAAATCATCATGATTTATTAATAATGTATTATTATAATGAAATATTTTTAAAATTTTTAGATAACTGAAGAAACTGCAGATGTGATAGCAAATAAATCCATAGAAATGTGGCAGCAATATGGAACTCCCCTGACAGTACACGACAAACCAAAACCATAACTCATTCTAGTTTTACTGTTATCCATGATTAGTTAGCAACCTATTATGCACATGTCATTTTTATTATCAATACAATTTCTTTCAAATCATGAAAATTTTTTGTTTTATTTGGATAATTTGTTAAATATTTTATGGTTGGCAGCATATAGCACAGATACAATGGGAATTTTGGAAAGATATTCATAGCACAAATCAAATCAATTGGCGAGGATGTACAAAAAGTGTATACTTAGTGGAATATCTTTGATTTATTAGGATGCTATCTGTGAAAAGTAATCATTAAAGATATTTGGACTTATATTAGGAGGTTGGCTAGTATTTTTCGTAACACCATGATGTTCCATATGATTTTCCATATAGACTTTATTGGATGACTGGAATTTCTGATGATGTTATTGCCCTCATTTTTGCATACTGTATTGCCAGTTTGTATTGCATTTTAAAGTCTTTATATGTCCTCTTAATGTCTGTGACCAATACTGTTTTTTAAGCTGTTCTAAAAACTAGTTGATTACACATAGCTTTTATGTCATTGTTAAACCAATTAAGTTTGATTGACCCTTACCTTATACCTCTTCTCTGGGAAAGATTCCAAATAAGCTTCTTCAGGAACATTCATAAATCTGTTAAACTTCTCATTCACATCCATTTCTCTCACATTCACAAAGTCACAACGTATTTCTGATATTCTATTATGAAACCAAAATAGACTTATCTGTGTAATTGGCCGGAAAATATTTTTTCTTTCTGATACTTATCAATTTGATGCAATGAACAACCAACCTGTTGTCTTCTGTGGTCAGAGAAACCCAGTTCACATACTCAGGCCATCTCGCACTGTATGTCAGAATCCAGGAAAATGTTATCAGACAGTCAACTTTCTCATCTAGTCAGCACAAAAATTGCTTGATTTAAATTGTCTCAGTACATCTTGTATCCTAGTATTGATCTCATTTGTACAAAATTTGACATTGAAGTCACCTGTCAAGACAATGGGTCTCCCCATACCAACACTTTCCAGAAGTCCATCTAAAGATATTAAAAAGGTGCCAAAAGGGCCAGACTGGCTTCGATATTAACATATAATACTTATATTTACCTTCTTTAAAACAATCATACGGTATTCAATACACTTTTCTAAGTTAAAATTCACATTTCAATTAAACACATTAAAATTCAAATAATCCATAACAAAACTACATGTTCCTTATCGAACTGAATCCACCTGGCTGAAAAAGCTGCCAGTTCCTGTAAGTGCATTGCGCAAATTTCCTTTTCTTTCAGCCAATGTTCCATTATACAAAGAACATCAATTTTCTTGTCTGCAATAAAATCCTCCAGTTCATCTACTTTATTCCTTAATGACTACACATTTGCATGCAGAATCCTTAGGTTGACGTTTGTTTCTTGGATGGTATGTTGGAGGGCACCTTCTCTTGGTTCTATGGATTCAGAAAATGGTTAACACTCACTCCATCAGGCTATATTTCTGAACATAAATACTTAGGTTGGTCTTCCATTGGGCCTGCTAGTTTGAATGACCTGCAATATTTGTCTCTTCTAGTTTTTATTTCCTCGCACTTGTTGGAAAAATAGCAGACAAACGCAGTCCAGGACGAAGAAGAACCTCATGGTTGAAGAACTTGCGAGATTGGTATGGTGTTGATAGAAGCATGCTATTTATGGTGGCAGTGAATAAAATTAAGATAGCTATGATGGTAACCAACATTCTGAAAGGACATGTACATGAAGAAGAAGTACTTGTAGTTAGCACCCAAATCACAGGACTTCAGAAAGTCCACATTGTTTCCAAGAGAGCCAATCCAGACAAAAGGTTAGCTAGTGACAATAAGGAATGCCATTTTCGGTGCTGCCCTCAGTGTACAAGTTTGGTTTGAGCCCTTGTGTGGTTTAGGCATATTTGTTTCGCTCAGATCATTGAACCGTTTTTTTTTTGTTTTGAACTGTTTTCCATCCAACGGTTATTAGAAATAGGTTTAGAATTTTCAAAATCAATTTTGAGACCTGTATGGAGATGATGCTGAGCTATGGGGAAAACTTGGTCGAAATTGCGAACTGAAATGTAATGTTCACAGATTCTGAATTGAATTCTTCCGTTGGTTTGACTGCTTTGATGTAAGATCGAGGGGAAGTCTTCACCTGTTATTAGATTCTCTTAAAATCATTTGGTTCCATCAATCGCTCAAAAGCGTTTGCCAAAGTTGAAAATATTTATTGTCTCGCTAGTAAAATTTGAATAAAAAATCCAGTCATCAGGCATCGTGCAAAAAAGAATTTCTTGTTTTAATACAGAAAAATGTGTCTTAAAAAAGCCAATCGAATCATATCGTAAATTTACTACCCTATCTGTGCAAAGAATGATGTCTATTATTGTATCGGTTTTTGCATAATTTCTCTCATAAGTGATCTTGCATAGCATTGTTGAAAATGTAAAATATATTCTGTGTTTACCACTTGAAAGATAAGCGTTCAGTCTAATGTTGCACAACACTTATACACATTTCTGATTAATTTGTATATCTATGCATATTACAGGAAACTATTATAATTAAAAACATCGAATAACTATAACCTCTTTATTTATGTAAATTTACAAAAGCAGTCCTAGAAATAAACAGTATAATCAGTGTTAAACCATCACTTTTCCTACCTAAGATTATAAGGTACTTGGACCTTCGATGGTATTCTCAGACTTCGATTCAAATAACTTTTAATTAAAACTTCCAAATGTAATAAAAAATTAAATACATAAATTGTTCCAATACCGTTACATCATACCATATCAGTCAAGTTTAATGCGGCTAAGTTGACTACTATTGCTCAACGAATGACATGGAACTTTCTATTTATTGGTTAATTTAAATTAAAAAAATGTTATTTATTACATCTCAGACAGTATTGATCTAATTCATCTAATAACGATAAAATAAATACAGATCTATCTAATTTAATATGGAGCTAAACTGTTTTTATTACTGAGTATGGGTAAATATATATATGGTAAAGTTACTTATACTTAATGCTATATAACAATCATAAATAGGTTTCAATTTCGTTAAAAACGTAGATGTATGAAAGCTGCTACGGTCGAAATAAAAAAATGCTTCTAATTTCTGTGCAATCTTCCAATAACTAATTCGTATTTCTGTCGCGAATATCTTTAAAGACAGATTGTATTATTTTTCTTTCTCCTCTACTTATTAAATGTGTTACTTCTTCGACATACATCTTCACTTTTCCATTTTCTGAAAACAAGTATAGGATAACTATCCCCAAACATATTATTTTTAAATCTTTGTAGATAACTTGGTAACACATGGTTCACCTTGTGTCACCCTCAACAAATTATTTTGAATTTCAAGTGTTGTCACTGACGACTACTTAGTACTTTCAATTAAATTAATTTTATAGATATGGCAACACACTGTTGCAGATACCTCAATTATGACATCTGACAAGATCTTAATTTGACGATTAAATTGAATATGCGCTCGAATAATCCAATAATATGACTATAACCCAATAATTTGACCAGATACTGTAAATTGTATTGTACACTTTTAGTCATAGTTTCGAACTTATTCTGCGATTTTGATCAAAATGGAGACTTACTTATCATAAAACTTGCATATTGTCCATATTTCAAGGTGTCAAAATCACACTGGCTGTTTAAAAAAAAAAGAAATTGGTATATGAAAAATCAAAATGCATCTGAATATGTTAAAATAATACCTCTCGTTGTATTTGTAATAATCTACATACAGTAATTCGTATTGACTTTGATTTACAACTATTGTCTTACAAACATATAAAAATGCCACCTATTCAATTTTTAAAATCTTAAAACTAGATCAATAGGCCACATTGGTTGAGAAGAAACATTTCAAGAAATTATAAATACTGGAATTATTGATGCCATCATTAGATGTGATTCGTACATCGAAGCCTTTTCAAATTATATCGCAAAAGCATAACAAATACCGTGGCACGTCATACAATAGAATGCTATCATTCTTTCAGTTGGTTTCGCTAACTGTCACTTGTCATTTGTCATTCAAGCTGTTTGAAATACGAACTGTTTAATTGATACTTACATACCATGCATTAGAACATAAATGAATTGTGGGCATATTAGATATTGGAATAAAAAAATAGATTAAGAGGGAACAATTTTGAGGTTAGAAAATTGCCTGAATGCTAAAAAGTCAAAAGAAAATACGAAAATTTTGAGAAGAAAATAATTCTAAGGTTGGAACACTTGCGCTATGAAGTACGCGTTGAAAGGTCAGCGGAAAATAGTCAAGATTTTATGAATAATTTGTAAAAAAAAGACATGAATAATTTATATCGTCACAGACTATTTTGTTTTGTTAATATACTTTTGATTATACCAAAACTACGATTGTAGTTAAGAAATATCATCAAATAAGATGTTTACAGCTTAAGAATGACACATTTGGCATCTATTATTGTGCTCAGCTCATAGAAAATACCTAGAAATTTTTTGATCAACACAAACAAACATCACGACATTAAAGAAACAAATTCTGGACGACAAATTTCTTAAATATTTTTGAAATTGTGTTTCATGACGTCATTGATGATGTACAACGATTGTTTTGCCTTTACTATAATATACAATTTTATCTTAGAACGTAATTATTAAGTTGTTGTCTTGAGATGATTCCTTTACAGTGTCCGTGACCTGGCCCTACCGCCTATAATGTATACAGTACATTGTACAAACAAATAAAATCATGTAAGCAATTACAAAATTTATGGGAATTACGTTTAAGGGGCTGGCATGACTTTAAGGCGTTCGAACGCGGCTTTTTCTAAGGCTTCTCTGTGGTTGGGATGAGAGATGCTGATCAAAGCGTGTGCCCTTTGTCGAAGGGTTTTGCCGAAGAGGTAGGCTATGCCGTGTTCGGTTACGACGTAGTGAGCGTGGGCTTTAGTTGTTACTACGCCAGCACCTGCAATAGAACAAATAAGTATTATTACACACTATTAGTAAATGGGTATCAATAAATTGTATACACTATACACATTTGGAAAATTTAAGACGGAACATAGGGATTTTTAATACAATTACTAAGATCCCCTGACCTGCAATTACCCAGTGTAAATTTGAATATAACGTCGCGATGTCTTATAATTAATTCATTTGTTCGACTGGATTGCTGCTCCTTAGCGATTTGTAGTAGCGTATTCGGCAGGTGGACGTCGACACTGTTGTCTATTGTCCACTGATTTTCTGTGTTTTTGTTCAGATAATAACAATGTTTTATTAATACAATTTTTTTGTGTTCATTAGATATTATTTGAATTGGTTAGTGTATAGTTTAATATATTTATTATTCCAAATATTGTTGATAATTTAAAATTTAAAAGGATGTATATGATACATCAAAATCTACAGATTTTTGCCGAAGGTATCTATCGATTTGGCAACAGTCCCAAGGAACATCACTGGCCGAGCAAAACAAATACATGCCCTTTGCTTTGCTTCTCATTATAACGCCATAAGCTGAAATAAAAGTAGTGTTTCTAACCATAAACCATGTATACAAACAAAGAAAAAGTACAAATTTTAAAATGGTATTTTGGGGCCAACTCGTACCGTGATATTATAAATTTATTTACTTGTGCCTATGAAGATATCGAGACGAGTAAGAATGGGATGGGCAGCGTTCGGCAAACTTTCTTACGTTCTAAAAAATCAAACAATCCCTCTATACTTACGAAGCAAGGTATATAACTCCTGTATCATACCGGTGCTCACCTACGGAGCACAGACATGGACATTTACACAGGCCAATTTGGATAGGATAAGGAAGGCACAAAGAGCGATGGAGAGACAAATGTTGGATGTATCACTTAGAGATAGAAAACGTAACCAGTGGATCAGAACCAGAACAAAGACAGTAGACGCGATAGAACAAGCAACAAAACTGAAATGGGAATGGGCTGGACACAATGAACGTCTCCAAGACGGACGATGGAACAATGCCATCGGAAAGTGGCGTCCATACAATGCAAAGAGATCAAGAGGCAGACCACAGATGAGGTGGAAAGATGACATTAGGAAACAAGGAGGTCCCACATGGCAGAGAACAGCTCAAGATAGGGAAAGATGGAGAGAACTGGGGGAGACAACAACAATAAGATGGTTATCCAACAATAAGAAGATAGGCCAATACCGACACAATCAACTATTAGTCGTATTATTAAAAAATTTGAATCGTTTGGTTGTGTACAAAACTGTCCAAAATGTACGGATCTACCACGAGAGAAAATAATCAACGAAGTTCGGCAAAATAGGGAAATTGATGTTTGTAGTGTTGCTGAAACTAGTGATCCTTGTTCAAGCAAAACTATTGCTGAAGAAGTTGACATGAATGATAGGACTGTCAGGAATATTTTGAAAGGGAATGGTTATCGTTGTTTTAAGGTTTCAACAACTCAAGAGTTATTAGCCGAGGACAATTTCAAGCGTATGGAATTTTGTAAACCGATGATGAATAAACAAAATGAAAGTGAACATTTTTTAAAAAACATTTTGTTTACCGATGAATCGACATTTTCGTTACATCGGAAACATAATCCTTCTGTCGTACGATATTGGTCTCGGCATAATAATCACTTGAGTATTCCAGTACGAACACAGTAGCCCCAAAAACTTAATGTTTGGACAGGTATTTTGGGGGACTATATCGTCGGTCAATTTTTTATTGATGGTAATTTAACGAGAAATAAATATTTAGAATTGTTGCAAAATCAAATTATTCCAGCAGTTCAATTACTTCCTGTCAATTTTGACGATATTTGGTTTCAGCAAGACGGCTGTCCTTCTCACAATATACGAGCAGTTCAAAATTATTTAGAAACAATTTTTGGAAATAAATTAATTTCTTCTCGTGGTACGATCAAGTGGCCTCCCAGATTACCAGACTTATTCCCAAATGATTTTTTTCTTTGGGAATATTTAAAAACAAGTAACGAGATGGTTTTAAAAGAGCCCGAAATTTAGCAGAATTGAGGGACAAAATAATTCATTTTTTGGAAGTATTAGACCTGTGGAAACTGCTCAGGGATATGAGACTATCTTTGTACAACAGATTTGGTTATTGCTCCGCAGAAAGAGGTGGAATATTTTAACCTTTATTACATTGAATTTTTGTTTTTAATATTATTATTATTATGTTATTTTTGGAATTCGTTTTTATTTTAATTTTTAGAAATCTACTTTTTTTTATGCCATTTTGGCAATAAAATATAACAATTTTTTTTAATATTTTAATTCCATATCTACGTAAAATTGTAGATTTTTGGCGCATTGATACTTACCCCACCTGTATTCCGTTTTATACTAGCGGCTTGGCGAGATGCAAGATTTTATTATACGATGATCGTTTGTGTTTGGTAAGGTGCGCACGTGCGCAGCAGTCGAAAAACATCGACTGGAGAAGGAGTCCAGTCGTACAAATGAAATAATTATAAGACATCGCGACGTTATAGTATTTTGTTTCTGAAGATAAAAACTATTAAAAATAATTAATAAGTAAAAATCTTGTTGCCCGTTTAGTGTAAGTGTATTAAAAAACCTACCTGGCTTGAGTAGAGGAACGATTTTACTCTCTCCCTTGTTGGTAGTAGAGGGAAGTGCAATGATTGGTTTTCCTTTTCCGTCCAATCCTTCAGCAGCTCCTCGAATGAAGTCCACTTGACCTCCGAAACCGGAATACATTCGGGTACCGATCGAGTCCGAACAGATTTGCCCCGTCAAGTCGACTTCAATACACGAATTGATGGCAGTCATCTTTGGTTGTCTTGCAATAATGCCTGAAGAAATAAAAAATTATTGTATTAAAAATTATTGTCTTAAAAGATTGTTGGGACCGTGCAAGTTCGGAACAGCGACACCTGGTGTCGTAAATCAGCAAAATTTACTGCGCTTTCATCTTAGATCAAAGTTACCGGATAACTGTCAAGGACGTAGCCCCAAAAAAGAATAAGAAGAAAAAGTAAGATTGAAGTTATGTCGATATGTTATTAAAAGGTAAACGTTGTATGTAGTGTAAATACAAATAAATATATTATTAAATTACAGCATTACTGTTAATATGGATGCAATAACAAAAACTGGATTTGAGAAAGTAAATCACCAAATAACTTTTCAACCAATCACTGAGTCAAATGGAAAAGCTTTAGTAGTGGCAAATGTCAAAAAAGAATGGAAGAATTAAGAAAAATAAATTACCATAATTAATGCTAATGCATAAATTAGCAGGTTAAGCCCATGATATCATCATATTGGTTTGAACAATTAATTCTTTCCCTGTAAACTTTTGGACAGCGAATATATCTTAATGCATCTTCAGAAAAACTTGAACTTGATGCATTTTTGTAAACTTCAAAAAAATAAAATTTAAACATTAAACTTGATTTTTGGGTTAAAATGAACTCTAAGTGGGTGTTATGAAATTAAAATTTACACTTAAAAGTGAACTTTTATTTATTATTTATTTCAAACTGACTTTAAAATCGGGCGCAAGAATAATGCATAATTTAGGTTATGTTACTTATGCTTTTTTATGATATAAATCCACTTTTCTCTTTGTAGTAATTTGTGCTTCGAAGTTGGAAACGAATAAAACTTAAATTGACAATTTTTTGTTGTATTTTTACAATTTATAACACAGCATTTCCTAAATCCCATTTTCTTCAGTGACAGAAGGTGTAAATAAACAAACGAATATGAAATATGACAATTGACAATATGAATTTATGAAATCTATGAAATTTGCAGTAAAAAATACAAGATTTCTCCGATACTTGCGCACGATCGTTTCTCGTATCGCATCCAAGTGCTTGCACGTCGCCAATAGTCAAGTAACTCGAAATGGATTTGACTGAGCTTATCCTCAATTCTCGAACGTTTTATAATTTTATTACTATGCGATTTCTATTTTTTGTCATTTCCGTCATCATTTGAAACTTTTTGTACAATTTCATCTTCTGTTAATCTTTGGTTTCCTAATTCTATAGATATTGGATTAATTTATGAAGTATAATTTGAGCCTATTATTTACTCAACCTTACATACATATTCCTGCAAAATTCATTGCATATATTTCTCAATATTACAACATATTGGTGTAAAATTGGTTGCCTGTATTTTGCTAAGACTGTGCTGTGTTTACCAATGTATTAAGAGCGTAGGCGCAAAATGTCGGGACAATGCTTTTCTGAGAAAATAAATCCTGAATCCTGAGAAAATAAGTATTTTTAAAAAGTTTAAACGCAGAATGAAAGAATACATTATTACTGAGGGTCGAAAGTCCCTGAAAACTTCTATAATGTTTATTTTAATAAGTTACAGGGGTGAAAAAGAAGAGAAAATTTAGTATGATTTTTAATTTTAAAAATCTCTCATTTAAAAAAACTTTTTGTTTAAAGTAAGGGACTTTCGACCCTCGGTAATAATGTAATCTTTCATTCTGCGTTTAAATTTTTCAAAAATATTTGTTAGTTTTCTCAGGATTTGAAAAAAATGAATGCATTTAAAAAGCATTTGCCCGAAATTTTGCGCCTGCGCTCTTAAGGTGTTATGTTGTTATTATAATAAAAGAGTTATTAGGAATCGAATGTAAATAATAAATATTTCAATATTTAACCAACCGCAAGAACAAAAATTAAGCCAATGTATTCAATGGTTGTCAATTCTAATCAACAAGTCAACAATTCATAGAGTAAATATTCCTTTAAACTCTACTAAAACCAAAATTCTTAACAGAAACACTAATATAACTAAAAAATATCATACTTACTGGTACTATTTACATAATCTACAACTAACATCTCAATGAATGGATTATTATCGACGAAATCGTACAAATCTTGAGTTCCAATTAAGAAAGATCCTACGATTCTACCCCTATGAATAGATTTCTTATTATTAGTAACACAGCCTCTATTAACTAGGTCTATAACTCCACCAGCGAACATTTCGGAATGGATGCCAAGATCCTTGTGGTTAGTCAAACAAGCCAATACTGCGTCGGGAATGCTGCCAATACCTAAAACATAATACAAATGCAAAATAAAGAATTTCAAAATCAAAAATAATAAATATAAAAACTATTTGAAGATTCGTCATCAATAATATGGTGTAATATTGGTTCCCATGGACGTATAAACATAGATGGACACAGCAATAAGATACCTTGAATACACAATTAGCCCAGTCTGGTTAAAAAAAAAGGTGGAAAAATGTTTCGCAGATATTTGAAGCTTTTAAGACATAGGTGGGGGTTACTAGATGACGAATAGATAAAAAGATACTCCTAGTTTTACGTTGCGTTTTTTTTAAACAACAATTTATGGTCAAAATTTGATTTTTTATCTATAAGTTTTTTCCCTTACAATTTAAATAAACAATATTTATACCATTTTTTTATGTCAAGAATATCTTTATTTTTCCGTTTTTTCAATTAAAATTGATTTATAATTTGCGGAGATATTTGCAAAAAAGCAGTTTTTTTGCACTAATTTATAAATTTAATTAATTTTTTTATTAACAAAATAAAATGTTATTAATACATTTTAACATGGAGGAATTACCGTCCTTTAAATTTGTGCGAAATTTCACCCCGATCGGTCAAATAGTTTAAAAGTTATTCAATTTGTTTATCCCTGGGACTAATTATTTAAACCATTGAGCTTGCCCTATGCATGATGCTAGACACATTTAGCAAATTTCATAAGATTGTTTAAGACTTAGACTATCTCAGAAGTTAAAGGCATATTGAGTTTTAATCGAAATTATTTACAAAATAAACGTTTGAAAAAGGGGTATGTTTTTTACTTATAAACAATTGTAATAACTTCTATATTTTTTAAGCTACAGACTTGTACGTACAACCATTGGATAGCTGGTAATAAAGCTCACATTAAAAAATAAAAAACCTTCTATGACCAATAGGAACGAAGTTAGCGACTATTTTTAAAAAAATCATATCTCCATTGTTTATAAACATTAAGAAGTAAAATTTGCACAAATTTTGAATGAAAATCTAAACTTTATATTGAAAGTTATAGCTATAAAATGTATCTCTTTTTTTATAAATATTAATAACTACATAGTTTTCACTGGCCGGAAAATATGGGAAAACTCGGAAAAATTGAGTCTATTTGAAATTCACGCTAAATACTTACTTTTTTTAATTTGCTCGAATAGTCTGTCGCAGTATTAATAATGATGACATAATTTTCACCCCCATAAATCTCGGAAAATCCCGGAAAATCAACATATGTTTTTTCATTTTATATCAATGATGCTTACTGCTTTGATAAAATAAGTCGATTTTTTCATCACTTGCCTTATTACATTTTGCAATGTTTATTGAACTTTACTTTTTTTTATTTTCTTTACATACATTGGTTTAAAAGTTAAAATTTGGTTCATTTATTCGACTTCACTGTCAGCTCTGAACCTTTTTGTTGCACGTTGTTTGTCTTCACTTATTAAGCAAGTCTATACATATACTTCTTCAGAATCACTGTCGTCATCAAACGTAAGTGTACCGAGGTTGCAGCATATTTTCTCCTCTTCTTCTTCCTCAGTACAATTTATACACAAGTTCGTACAATTTAAACCATAGTTCATATTCACCAGTTATTTTTTATGTTTTCTGGTTTATCAGAAATAAATAATATAATATTAAAAGTAAACAAAAATTATATAATACTTTAAGTTAAAAAATAAGATAAATATTACTGAAAGATTAATGTACAATGTAATCAAAAATTTTAAAGAATTTCCTCGTAAAGAGTACAGAAAGAGTAAAAAAATGATCTGCTCCTTTTGAATGGAAATATGTTTCACTTGTCTAAAATAAATCAAAAAAAGATTTTTTTAATATTAATGAAAGATCACAATATTGCAAGCTTATATACAACGACTATTTTAAAAATATATAAAGTTAAAATAAGCATAACCGTATTGCTAAAATCTGTAAGGACTTTTTATTTTATTAAGTTGAAATTTAATTATGATTATAAACAATAAAGTAAAAGCAATAAAAATAGTTCAAAACAAACGTTTAACTTGCATAACAATAATTTAGCCATTTATAAAACAAAACTTACAAAGGAAAATACTTACTATGATACTACTACTGCTGGAATAAGTTATTGCCACAGTCTGCTGTTTATTTTAAAATAATCTATAATAAATAATATTTTTCACTAATTATACAAGTTAAAAATAATTAATTATTCATTCAATAGTTTTAAATATTACTTACAATTTTCAATCAAAAAGTAATTAAATACGTTTAGTTAAAACTTTTTTGTTAAGCAAAAACACACACAAAATAATTTACTCAAAAATTATTGCTAAATAAGTATATTGCTTTCTAAAGCCACCACACTGAGACTGACGAAATTTTGCAGCGATGTGCTAAGACAGTTTCCCCTCCACTTTCCTATGTAGATCTTTCGAAAGTAACTTTATTTCAAAAGGCTTTAAATTTCGAAAAATTGAATGAATTTTATAGCTATAAAATTCAATATTAAGTTTAGATTTTCATTCAATATTTGTGCAAATTTTACTTCTTAATGTTTATAAACAACGGAGATATAATTAACAAAAAAATTGTCGCTAACTTCGTTCCTATTATTCATAGAAGGTTAATTTTTTTTGTTAAATGTGAGTTTTTTTACCAGCTACACAATGGTTGTACGTACAAGTATGTAGCTTGAAAAATAAAGAAGTTATTACAATTGTTTATAAGTAAAAAACATACCCCTTTTTCAAACGTTTATTTTGTAAATAATTTCGATGAAAACTCAATATGCATTTAACTTCTGAAATAGTATAAGTCTTAAAGAATCCTATGAAATTTGTTAAATGTGTCTAGTGTCATTCATAGGGCAAGCTCAATGGTTTAAATAATTAGTCCCAGGGATAAACAAATTGAATAACTTTTAAACTATTTGACCGATCGGGGTGAAATTTCGCACAAATTTAAAGGACGGTAATTCCTCCATGTTAAAATGTATTAATAACATTTTATTTTGTTAATAAAAAAATTAATTAAATTTATAAATTAGTGCAAAAAAACTGCTTTCTGACAAATATCTCCGCAAATTATAAATCAATTTTAATTGAAAAAACGGGAAAATAAAGATATTCTTGATATAAAAAAATGGTATAAATATTGTTTATTTAAATTATAAGGGAAAAAACTTATAGATAAAAAATCAAATTTTGACCATAAATTGTTGTTTAAAAAAAAACGCAACGCAAAACTAGGAGTATCTTTTTATCTATTCGTCATCTAGTAACCCCCACCTATGTCTTAAAAGCTTCAAATATCTGCGAAACATTTTGCCGTGAAATCGATGATTTTTGTATAACCAGACTGGGCTAAATGTTTTGAAGCTTCGATAGAATGTGATGCTTCCGCAATGAGCATAGGCGTGCTTGTATTTTTACTCGCGGGTAATTTTTCAGATTTTAAAAATTGGAAGTAGTAATAATGTATAAAAACACGTTCAAAGAATTTAAAAAAACGAGAGTTTAACTATTAACAAATCACGTCTTTATAGAAAAATTAAAATACAACTTTATTTGCTTGCTAAAATTAATACAATAAAATATAGTTGAATTCAAGTTAATTTTTAATAGGTATCAAAATAATGCTACAATAAAAAATCTTTGTTTTCTCCTAAATTTGCTACCAAAATAGTTCGATCGTCAATATTATTTGGAAACCTACATAGAAAAATAAATGAGTTTTATTCATTTCACTAATTTATTTGCATCCATGAGAAATATTAAATTAAAAAGGTACTAAATAGATCTTTTTTAATCAGATGATGTCTACTTACAATTTAAAAATGTCTACTAATTTCATGAACTTATATCTTATTTAATACATTAATGAACATGAATAAACCCAATAGTACGCCTATTAAAATGTAAACAAACACGCTTTCTCATCTTAAATAATGTAAATTGTATGTACTTACAAATGAAATGAGAGAGCGGGATGTAAATATTTCGTTTATTTTATTTCACTTTTCACAAATATCACTCAAAATACAGCCAAAATATCGAAAAACAACTTTTACTAAAAAGTAAACAAACATGGAACAGCATTTGAAGTTTGACGTAGATCCATAAGACAGAGAAATGTAAACAACCGTTGCCATTTATAAATAGTTTTCAGTGCTTCTACATATAAAATAATTGATTGATATCTACTATACTCTATTATTAAATGATAATGCACACTATGTGCACACTTTATATTTTGATTACAATTAAATATATTAATATAACCAATAAATTATTATTTTGTTTTGATAGCACCTGTAGAGTATAAAATACGGAGTAATATTTTCAGCGACTCGCGAATAAGAAATTTTAAAACAAAACGTGACAACAGTTGAAGGTGCTGAGAATGTGACCTATTCAAATAATTTTGACTCCACAATTATATGTAAATAACTGAGTCCATCTGTGTTTATACGTCCATGTTGGTTCCCCATGTAATAATAAACGTTTGAATGATTGATGAATGAATACTTACCCATTTGAAGTGTAGCACCATCCTCTACCAGATTTTCGGCAATATTTTTACCAATCTGTGTTTCGACGTCAGATGGCGGTTTTCCACCGTGACACGGTAATGGAGTGTCTACTTTCACGGCGTAATCGATGTGGCTGATGTGGATTATACCATCACCAAATGTTCTTGGCATTCTAGGATTAATCTGGGCTAAAATACAAAAAAAACAAATCGAAAATAAGGAAAATATAATTCTTTAGAAGGAAAAATATAATTTTTATAAACGATTACAGGCTTTTGCAGCCAATGTTTTGTAATGTTAATTAATGAAACGCTTTTAAAGGCGGGAAATTTCAAGAGAAATTCGTTTTGCAAGTAAAAATCACTTTTATTGTGGTCTCTGTGGTATCAACCGATAGAAACGTCAAGAGGAAACAATTACTGATCATGATCATACTCTAAATCTCCAGAATATAATCTTACAAAACACTGGTATCGAAAGCCTACACTGCTTGACATAATCAGAATAAAATATTTATAATTACCAACTATAATTTTGGAGTGGCTCATTCCTGCTCTTACACAGTCCACACTGGTACCCAGACTGCAGTAGCCATGTTGATCAGGAGGAGAGACCTGCAAACAGAATTGAAATAGATGAAATTTTTAATAGAACAGTAATTAATAATTGCACAAATCATAGATCTATTTAAGCAGCAATTGCAACGTTGCCAATTCTAATACCATTTTAGTATCATTTTTAGAAATGAGAATGTCGTTGTTGAAGACCAATATCTAGCCCGCTGAACTACGGTAGCCACAGGATTGTATTAGTACAATGGGCACATTGAAATTATAGTAATATTTTACTAAAATTTTGATAAAAAAGTGCGTTTTTACTAATTCTTAGTCTAATAAGAATTTTGTATTATTCAATTTAAAAAAGAAAACTATCTGGTACTTGAGAGATACGATACGGCAATCATGGCAGAGAATATAGACGATTTACAAACTCTCCTGGAAATCATTAACAGAGAAAGCAAAAAGATGGGACTAACAATGAATATAAATAAAACCAAATACATGGTGATCTCAAAAAACACTGTTGACAACATACAACTGACATTGGAGGGTAAACCCCTAGAGAGAGTCGACAAGTATAAATACCTCGAAGCAATTATAAACTCACAGTTAGATCAAGAGCAGGAGATGAAGGTCAGAATAGAAATAGCTCGAAAAGGCTTTATAAAATACAAGTCAATGTTTACAAATAAGAAATTGAGTATGGCCATCAGATTGAGGTTCGTCGAATGTTATGTTTGGTCGCAACTACTATATGGGGAGAAGCTTGGACTCTGAAAGCCCAATCTATAAAAAAATTGGATGCATCGAAATGTGGCTATATAGGCGTATTTTGAAGATTCCTTGGACTGCAAAAGGCTCAAATGAGGAAGTGTTAAGACGAGTTGGACATGGCAGAAAGCTTATGAACACAATTAAAATAAGAAAAACATGGTATCTGGGCCACATACTCCGAAACGATAAATACTCTCTGCTACAAGTCATCATGCAAGGTAGAGTAGAGGGAAGAAAAGGCTTGTGAAGAAAGAAGAAATCTTGACTGAGGAATATCAGAGATTGGACTAACCTCAGCGTTGAACAGATATTTCACGTTGCAAAAGATCGAGAAGCGTTTAAAGAAGTGATCGCCAACCTTCGTTAGAAGACGGCACAAGAAGAAGAAAACTTGAGAGATCTACTAAAGCTGTAGTGATATATTATTGTATAGCAAAATACATTACACTATGATAAAGTTGGTTGCCTAATTTGTACTTTTCCAGACGTATTTGTTTCTGAGCTTTCCAGTAGCACGACGCTTAGGGATTTACATTTAATGTTTTGGTGAATAAAATAGGTTTGGACGTACGCATATTACAACACTACTTTCAAAAATAACTTTTCAATTTTGAAGGTAAGTTTTTTTGCGTATAAAATACTTTAAAATTAGATATAACTAACAGTTTTCAAATTCTACTAATGCTTAATAGAACTACTCTCACCTGAATAACTGCAATATCTGGCTTTACGATTTGTCTGGTAAAAAGTAGTGGAATTTCCGATAGAAAGATCGGAATGGCGTCTCCCCTACCTTCAGCAACGGTTTTTCTAACATTACCACCCATGAAGAATGAACATGACCTAAAACGTAACTCAAAGATATAGACAAGTAAATAATAAAAATTTGGAAAATTTGAATTTGTAGAATCCAACCGAAAAATAATTTCAAAAGTTAGAACATTGGTTGAAAATGTTTTTATGTAGTTCGCAATTATAAAGCATGTTTATTTTAAATTGTTCTTATCTGAATGATATTAAATTCTTTGTCTTGTTAGTTCTCAGATTGTTTCTATTGTAGGGTGATGAAACCTTTCATAAAAACGAGATTGTCTTGTTTTTAACGATCGTACTTGGAGTTCTTTGGATATCTCCAAAGTATTTATTAAATATTATTTATTTATACATACAAAAAACTGACATTTCGAACGTGCAACTCTCCAATGCCGTCACGACTTATGCGCAATACCACAGCCACCTTTACTTCCAAGCCATGAAGTAAAAAAGGCAACACCGCATTCTATGACGTCGGTAGTCCGATAATCAGCTGTAAGGTCTACCAGAAAATTAAATTAATTCGAATTTTAGGAAACTGATATTTTGAAAACTTCAATTCATTACAGAAATATTTTTAGGGAAATTAAATTAATAAAACTCTATATATACCTAATAAATATATATAAAGTTTTATTATTATTAAGGTTATATTATCAATAAAATAATCACTAGAGTAAAATTTATTGCACTTAAAATACAGTGTCAAACAGTTAATCTTACAATCAAATGCAGTCAAGAATCTCTAGAAATTTTAAATATTAAGTACTTAAGCATATAAATAACACAATACATTAACACGACATTTAAAAAGATTATTAAAAATACAAAAGGTATAAAATTTGTTAAGTAAAAACTTGGTGTAACTATTATGATTAAAAAATTCATCCTAAGAAATCAGACACAATATAAATATGGTTCTAAATAAATCTAATTCAAAATTAAATAAGTATTTTACTATTTACTGATAACTTTTGTTGAATTTTCATACTTAGGTATACGAAAGTAGCAATTTTAAATATGAATAGGTTTTTTGTCATATAGACCAAATTAAAAGAGGTATACACGAAAAATGTGTTGAATGTAACATACCATTTATAACTTGTATATCGATTTAAAATAACCTATATTCTCAAAAGATTTTTGAATGTAATACTCAAATTTGTTATCACTTATCTAAAAAGCAGATCTATATCGAGAAAGTAAGTTCTCTAATTGTGACCATATTGTTAATTTACTATATTGTAAAATCCATTTCAAATCATTACTACTTAATCTATTCTTACCTACATTGACAATTACACTAAAATTACTGCTAACTATTACACTACTTATTACACAAATATTATCACACTCGTGTCCCAACTGATTAATGTTTAATATATAGAAATACAACACACAGTCACTTGTAATTTTACTTGTCCAGTTTTTCAATGGGATATTATTGTCTAAGTCTCTTAAAAATGATTCAACGGAATCTATTAAATCATTGTCTAAGAATTCTGTTATCTCTTGTTTCCTCTTCTTATGCAAAAAGTTTCTTCTGTCTTCGGGATTCCTTCTTTCTTTAGTACGATGAACAGTTACATATGATGGTACTTCAGGAAATATATTAGGAACTGCATTGTCTTTTAATTTGGGAAATATAAACTTTTCAACGTGTACATTTCCATCTTTATCTTCTCATTGTTCAGTCCGATGAATATCATCTTCATGAAAATGTTTGGCACATACTACGGAAGATTTGGTAATTGTATAGCCTTCTCTATGAATAGAGCATAACCCAGTATACCTTCTTTGGGGATGTTTGGGAAACAAAAACATACTTTCTGCCTGTTTCGTTTTTAAAGTACTGGCATAATTGGTTTTGCAACCAGGTACACAACAATGCCAGGGCATCTGCAACAAAAAACAAAAGTATTATTATTGTTGTTTTTAGTTAACATATTTTGTAACAAGAAGCAAAAGTATTATTATTTTCAGTTTGTTTTGTAGGTTATATTTATACTTGCCTTTTAAATTGTCGTTAAGAATCTTCTAAAAGTTCTAAACTTAATGAAATTTCACTTATATTAATATTTTCTAATTGATTTAAACACAATTTACAAATAAAACATTCGAATAAAGTTTAAAAAACACTAAATTCAACAAACTTTACAAGCCTTCCTATATGAAATGTTAAACAAAACAAACCACGGTCGGACTACCACGCGTTGTTGCCAAATTTCTACTTCATGGCTTTTAAGTAAAGGTGGCTGTGGCAATACCTTATCTTCTTAGTCATAGTATCATGATGGGAGTGGATACTCTTTCTGCGATATTGCAGGTAGACTACAATTTAAAAATGGACTGTTCTAGTTTTCATAACTTAATATTGGAATAAAAAGGCTTTCAAATTGGCTAGTATGGAAGAAAAATGCCCCCTATTCAAATCCCAAATAATATAATAACTTTGACTAACGATTTTAGTTATCTTCGTTAATTATGTCTTGAAGTATACATAATTTATTTTTATTACAAGCCTCAGAATTCAAATTAAATTGCATATTAATATGTTAAATTAATTATAGTATACTTGTAAAATACTTTACCTAAAAATTCCCTCACAGGACGGATCAGTATACGCCGCTGGACCTTCGGTGTGCATATGGCACACTGTAATATCTTTAAGATTTTTACTCTTTCCTACTTTTGTCATTGCATTTAGCAATTCGATCGGTGTAGCTGCCGCTCCCTGGGAGAATACGGTTTGACCTGGAAGAAAAAATGTTGTAATACGCCGTACTCAATACATGACAGTACTTTTTACAAGAACATTTTCGTACATTATAAATTTATTATGTGTCAAATAATTTTTTGAATAAAAACAAAAGCTTTATTTAGTTTTAATTTTGGTTTTTATACAATAACAACTTCTTATTTCCAAAATATTAGAGAATACCGCAATATAATAGATTAATGGTAGACGTTTAAAAATGAGAAAAATGTGTTTTGATTGCAAACATAGAAGAAAAAATAAATCACGCCACGAAAGGTGAATTTGGAGAACTACAGAGAAATTTTAGTAGTATTAGTAGAAGTTTAACGAAAGTAGAAAAGTTTAAAATACGTTAAGTTTCGATTTCCAATAGAAAAGGCATTAATAAACATATTTTAAACTGAAATTGTGGTTAATTCCCAATAAAGTAGCAAATAATATAAAAATGTCACAAGAAAATAGCTTCAGAACAATATATAGAAAAGTATATAGAGGAGTAGCACAAAAAAATTAAGCTAAGGAAAATAGAAACAAATTGATTGAAAAAATTGTTTAATAATATAATTGTGGAAGTGGGATCAATGACAGATGACTGAAGAAGTACCAGCTTACTATCTGTCAACAAAAACAAAGGAAATAGAAGTAAATTAACAGATCTCCTTGTTCTAATTCCTGCCTAAAATTGAACATTATTCATTTCACTTTTATGTCGATAAACATTTTATTAAAAATAAACGTATTACTTTTCGTATAACCCCTCTGACTGGACTAATTTTTGTCTCAAAGCTGATATGAAATCACATAAAAATATTTTATATTAACCTTGACAGTTATCTAGAAATGAACAGGTATAAATATAAAAAACAAACAGATTTTACATCTCTCATAATATACTAATAAAAAAAATTATATTCTCTAATATAGTTGCCAGCGTATAAAGATTTGAAAATGTTTAAATAATAATAGTTAAGGTGAGATATATGTAGTGTTTTAAAAGGTTTTTACTCAGTATTAGTATTAAAATGGCCCCTTCGGTCACCATACTTAACTCCTCTAGATTTTTATTTTGAATTGTGCTAAAAACCAATTTGCACCAAGGAGAAAAGTTGAAAAACGCACCTTTTAGTAAGAATTTTTTGCCTCAAACATCAAGTAACGTTTGCTTAAAAACCTGGTGTTTGGATTTCATTATTTTGTACAAGGAATCTTTAGATATTGTAGTTTTGATTGACAAATATAATTCTAACCTAAAAACTATAAATATTATTTGTGGAACTAATTAATCTGTTTCTGTACCCTAGGTAGCATTCCACCACCAAAAACTGGAGATCATTCGACCACTGGTCGAGTGCTTGTATACGAAGTAGCTGAAAGAAACAATATTAGCCACAGTTTTAATAAGGAAACCAAGATGGCAGGCTGGAAATGAGTCAGAGGCTTTTTAAAGCGAAATCCTCGAATATCATTACGAACTCCAGAAAATACTTCATTGGCAAGGGCTCAAGCTTTTAATAAACCAAATATATGTGCCTATTTTGCAGCATTAGCACATATATTAGACGAGTTTCAATTTCCATCGGAAAACATTTATAACATGGATGTGCAATGAATGCAATTGAAACATATGTTCCTCCTGCTTTGATTTTTCCTCGACAGAGAAAGAAAAACGAACTTATAATCGATGCACCTACTGGAAGTGTAGCCTTCAAGAAAAAGAATGGATGACTTTCGACATTTTCTGTCTCTGACTGCAACATTTTTTAAGATATTCAAAGGCTTCTAAAACCAACCAAGTTTTATTGGTACTCAATGGTCATGGTAGTCATAAAAGTCTTGAAGCTCTCTAATTTGCAAAAGAAAACGGTATTATTATGTTTTGTTTTCCTGCTCACTGCTCTCACGTTCAACCTTTGGGCGTAGGATTTTTTAGACCACTTCAAACTTACTACGGCCAAGAAATTCAATTATGGCTGCGACAGAATCCAGGTAAAACAGTTACCCAATTTAAAGTATTCAGTATCTTTAATAGAGCATATTTAAAAAGCACTTTTCCATCAAATGCAATAAATGCACTTAAAAAGACAGGAATAGCACCGTTAAATCCAGATGTCTTCGAGGATTGGTAATTTTTGCAGTCTATAACAACAGATAGAGAAAATTATGAACAAAACCCACTATCAGGATGTTCTGACGAGAACTCACTACCGGAACATCGAAACCAAAATGATTCTTCGATTGAAGGTTTATCAAAAATCACTGATCAGAAATCAACATCATTGTCAGTCCTAAACATCTCAGTCGAAGATATTTGTCCTCCTCCTTTAGCTGGAGTATCTGAAGTAACTCAGAAAAGGGGTAGAAAACAGGGTAAAACAGAATACTTAAATTCAAATGTCAGAAATTGATGATATAAAACAAAAAATTGCAGAAAAAGAAGCAAAAAAAGAAAACAAGACGCAAGAAAAGTGAAAAGACAAGTTCGTGTTTCAACTACAAAGAGTTCTGAAGGAGATTGTGAATCTTTTTTTGAAGAAGCCGACTCGGAGGATGCAGCTTGCATTTACTGTAACGAACTATTTTCGCATTCACGATCCAAATAAAAATGGATTCGTTGTCAAGTGTGTAAGAATTGGTGTCAGATTTTAGTAAACTATGAATAACTTTTGTCATCTTAATTATTATCAAAATTTGAAACATTTGCATATTATACAAATAACAAGACGTTATGTGGTCCTATTTAAAGTCTGCTAAGTAAATAATTAAAATTATTATGGAGCTTTTTCCTTAAGGGGTCCATCATAGGCACATTTCCCCTAGTTTCAGTAATGTGGGTTAAGCATTTTATGTGACATTTCTCGTGACTCACACGTTAGTGAACGGAACTCAATTCAGGAGCTTACGGGAGTGGGTGAAATTAAGTAACAATGAGCGCGAATTGAAAACCACGTTCGTGCCCATGTCTACACAGGGTAGAAGGCAGATAATCATCATCATTCTGGCTTTACAACCATGCGTGGGTCCTAGCCTCCTCCAGAATTTCTCTCCAGTCATTCATATACACCGCCAAGCACGTATTCCCATATTTCAAAGTCAAAGAAAGGAAGGGACAACACAAACAGACAAAAAAAAATAGGATCTAGAAATCCACACAAACACAACTCTCTCAACGAAAATAAAAAAGTAAGACCTATAATTTACAACCATTATCAATGATCTGCAACTTTTGAAGTGGGCAAACAAGCACGTGCCGAACAATTATATTGCCAATGAAAATGTTTCCGTAACGTTTCCTGTTATCAGTTGGCGATAAAATGTTTTTCTGCTCATTGTTATATCTCATTATTTTAAATAAGCCTTATCAGTTTATATCATTCCTGTAGGTCGAAGTATGAGAATAGCAAGCTTTTTATAAATGTTGTTTGTTAGTTTTGTTGTCAGATAATTATTATTAATCTGAAATTGAAGATAAGAAATATGAGAATATTTTTCGGAATTAAAAACACGAACACCTTAAACCTTTAGATGGCAACACACTGGCAACAATATTTTTTAAGATATTTTGTCTCGAATTGTGAAATAAGATTACAAGAAATATAAAACAACCGTTGTTTACGAAAGTTTTTACAAAAAAAAACAATTTTTTTGAGGTGGGAAATATTTATCCCAATAAACTATAAGGCTTTATGTTTTCACATAAATTTCAGTGGGATAATAATTTCCCGCCAATGAAAAATATATATTAAAAATCACGAATACTTCTAGTTTGAATGCACATTCAATTGTATGTCACTTTATGCTAAAATGGAGCAAAGCACCCTTTACATGGAGCCACATTACACGTAACACAAATCATTATCCTTGTAGAGTAAGGGAAACCAACCCTTTTTCTCATTAATACGTGTGAGAATAGCTTAATAGATTGAATTGATATATTTACCTACATAGGAACACGAAAGTATATTAAGGTTATAAACGTCTTCCTTGGCTAAAATATTAGTGTATTATCATTTAAACAGAACGAACTAAGTATACAAACATGGCCTTGTGACATAGAGTGCCCAGTGCATGCAAATATTATAAAATAGGAAACAGAATTCAATGAGGGCATAAATGTATAGATTGCGGCCAGTGAAATTTAGTACGAGACTTTGTTTAAGTATTGTTTAGTTTACTCAATAAAATGTAAAACATCAACCGTAATTTGAACAGTAAAGAAGAAGAAAAAGTTGAGATAACATCCCTTTATTCCCTGAACTTCACATGGCGATCACTGCCTTTTGAATAAGGATCTTCTGATCTGAAGAAATAAAAGAAAAATGGCAATTATAAACTGGAAATTTAAATGGAAAAATGGGGTAAAGTATTCATCACCATACTAGATGTTATATGGAACCCGCTGTATCAGTTTCGAAATGGGAGATGCATTGGCGATTAAGAAAATTCCCGCCAAATTCCGCACCATCTCTTTTCTTTTTTCTTCGTACTTCATAAGCCACATCAACGGTATTTACTCTTATTGATCTTCTCTGGGATATGAGCAACTACGTTTGAAAGCATAACAGAATTTTCTAAAGTTTCGGGTGCATTAGAATTTTTACGTTTTCTCTCTTTTGTTGCGTCTGGAGCGTACCGCATTTTCTTTCTACGGGTGAAATTACCAATCAGTTTGTTGACTAAAATTGAACGGTAACGGTAAGTTGTGATAAAGGATTTTTTCGCTCCTCTTTCATTGTAATATTGTATACTAACTGTTTACAAGGTAAGCGTCAGAGATGTAATAAAAAATATTTATCCACTATCTACGTGATTTGCGATTTACGCAGTAGAATAACATATTCTGGTCAAGCATACTCTACTCCTCCCAGGTACTTATTATATGCCTCTATCACCCTGAGACATTTAACTAGAAGCCTTTCTCCTTTTTTATTTCTAAGCAGTGTAGAAGCCACTTCAGATTGTTCCACAAGAAAAGATATTATCCATGAGCAACCTCTTA